CATTCAGTGTTTAATCTTAATGTTTATTGTTAACCCAGATATTTATTGAAATAATCTAGTCATACTGAATAGTTAACACTTTTTAAAGCAAATTAATTTTAATAGCCTATATTAATTTTATCATTAATATTAATTGTACATAAGCTGAATTAAAATTGTCATGAACTGAACAAAACATAATTCCTCAATAAATTTTTCAATTTACAAATGTTTGAATTGGCAATCATTACCAAATTCCAAAACCTTTATAATTAACCGAATACTCTAGCTCTTACATCTTTAAAGAATTAAAGTTTATGTAAAGCTAAACTAATGAATATAGTGCATCTATTTTATGTTTCTGGACCAAATCATAAAAGTATATTAACTTCTCGGTATTTCAAATCATTAGAAAAATTATGAAATAATACTGATATTCTTTTTTGGTTAAACTTGATAAAAGATCAGATGTTGTTGTTATGAATAAGTCGGATTACAAAAATTAAATGGAATCTATTATTAGTGACGAAAGCAAATTCATAGCCAATGTTGATTCTAATGGGTTACGTAAATTAGGAAGGAAAGTCGATTCGAATCTAATGGAAATATTTGAAAAGAATACTATTAAAACAGATGAATTAAATTTATTGAACTCTATGGGTTCAGTGTATTCTGATTAATAAGGACCACTAAAAAATCATAAGCTTAATATCCCCTTATGAAAAATTCTATCAATGTGTCGATCATCTACACATAATTTTGCAAAATGGTTCACAAAGTGTTAAACCATATGTGAAACCAGTTTCACAATTATTCTTTGGAAGACCCATCGACATTTCCTGTAAAAATTCTTTAATATTTATTATTATGTACTGAAAATATGAAATTCACTTTTGAGGGAGAGCATTTTCAGCAGATTGATTGCGTGGCAGTGGATAGTCCTTTAAGACAATTGCTGTCTAATGTGTTTATTTCATATGTGGAAAATCTCGCTGAAGACTCAACTCAAAAGATGTGTTTGTATAAGCAGCTCGTGAATTGTAAAATAATACAATCGGAAGCGGGAACATATTTTTAATGGGAAAAGTTACAAGGCATTTACATAATATATATACGTAGCCTTCAATTATCCACTTAAAACTTTTGATGTGTTCTGCAATCTGAACTCTTTTCTCACCTGGTCTTCACGTGTTCTGCCAACGCCGTGTTTCGCTCCGTTCGACAAATTGGGGGCATATTATTTACAAGCAATGTTGCGAGTGGCGTCCACTTCAGGACGACATCATAGTCATCGGTGATAAACATGGAGACATGAATTGCTTACTAAGGGAACTCAACACAACTCAAAAGCATATTTCTCTTAAACAAGAAGAAGGAATGAATAACCAGCCCCCTTTTCCAGGCATAGTGACCAGTAGAAGAGACGATGATTCCATCAAACGTTTCCTATATAGAAAGTCAACACGGACAGGGTAACATCTTAGTTTCCAGCACAAATGTGGACTGATAAAGGGCTTATTCCATAGGATTATTGGTATTCGCACTAGCAATATTATTTAGGGAGACGCGAAGCTCTTACCTGAAAATTGATGGATAACAATTATTCGTTTAACTTTATGAACCACTGAGAAGGTAGCAGTTTGAATAAACCTACGATATTTTTGGGACCCAAAAACGGGATCTTATTTTCTTACCACTTAGAGTTAACTCAAATAGTCTCATGTTGAAATGGAGACTTAAATTAGCTATCAATAGGATATTTTATGCCGACTAACTCATCACAAAAAACTCAAACAGCATTTAAGTGATTGTATTGAATCCCATTGCGTCTATCAATATGCATGTATGTGCTGAAACACGTATGTGTGCAGGAGCAATCGCGAGTTGAATGTAAGGGTGGATGAACACATAAGTAAACGGCCGCAAAAACAAATGAAGTCGAATGGTCCATTAAGGTCACACGATAGACGAACATTCCCCTCCATCGGAAAACATTTGTTTGGGACAGGTAATATTGTTGATGTCAAGTCAGCCATTGCAGTTTTGTACAAACATTTTTAAGGGAGTATAATAAGGTTTATTGAAACCTTGACTATACGAAAACCGAAACCCCCTTTATATGTTCAAAAACAATTTGTTCTTACACTTAACCTACTTTGATAACACTAATTGATTATCCAGCATAATTTTCACATTTTTTACTTTATTATTATTACTATAATTTTCGTTTCCCCCTACCTTTTAACTTGTCTAGTTCAACTTTTTTTTCAGATATAATGTTTCGACAAGTATTTGCACGATCAGACTGTTTGAAATGTTTTGCACACATATATCATGTAATTCTGATTTATTGCGTTAACTAAACTCATCACTTTCTACACTTATAAATCCGAATTAATGTTACAAAAGAGATAGTTAAGCTTACACAAAATAAGATTTTTATAATTACAGCATATGAATTTAGGATTGTTAGTAGAATGAAATAAAAAGTAACTATTGAAATGGTTAGTGTGTGGTGTCATCTTGCTCCACTGTTGCAGTTGAATCGATAGTTACAAAAAATAGTCGAGAGATAAGGCAATTCATCCTTCAATCTTGCTGTCACTACAACATTAGTTGTAGTATTCTTGTGTTAAATGTTCTTCTCATTGCACTAAATAAATTCGGAATTAACATGTCACTCGGTGAATTACTTTAACTGGTAAATACATAATGACAGTTTTGTTTAGATGGTGGTTGGAGGTAGTCAATAGGAAGTCCTGGACCCGGGTTTCGTGCTATTTGGCACTCGTCAGCAAAGTGTACCTGTAATCTTGAGGGAAATGGTGCTCCGTGACGGATTCGATCTCGTGTCACCTGCTTCACAGTCAGAGACGTTACCACTGAGCTATCCGAGCCGTGACTAACCTCCTATAGCACTGACATGTAATCACAATTGATTGATCACTTGGTGGTGATCGATGTCATGTGTGTCAAGTGCTTCTTAGTGCAGATCGAATGCTATCGATCGAGTTGCAATGTGGCCACCAGTCTAGGTGACCAAATAGCACGAAACCCGGGTCCAGGGTTTCCTGTTGACTACCTCCAACCACCATCTAAATCTCAATACATAGTGCCCGCAGTGTCGAGTCACCTAGACTGGTGGCCACATTGCAACACGATCGATAGCATTCGATCTGCACTAATAAGGACTAGACAAGCATGACATTGATCACCACCCAGTGATCAATCAATTGTGACAGTTTTGTTTACCATTTAAAATTCTTATCCTCTTATCTTCTTGACTAGGCATTTGTTTATGAACATTTTTGGGTATCATTTTTTCTCTAACATATTATATAGACCACTCACTTCTTCTACAACCGTATTCGAAAAGCATAAGATAATTATTCTGTGATGAAGTATTTTTAAGGAACTTTCTTTTTATTGTCCAGTTGCAAAATTAATAAAGTCTGTTCATTTTCTTTTCATATACCTTTCACACTCAAGTTCCTTCTTTACCATCCGTGATCAATCACCCCACCCTACTGTATCCCTTCGTAATCGTCAACCAAGCATTTGATCTGATTTGTAATTATATTAATTCTCTCACTCAATGTACATCTTTATTTATTGTGATTATTAGTTTCATAATTTCATATGATCTATGAATTGATTCAAGTTGACATAACACAATAGCTACTTAAATACTAACAGTTTTATTTCATTTTATCAGTCATTTTAAATTCGTTTACTGTAATTATAAAAGATTTTTGTTGTTGTTGTAAACATGATTATCTTCGTTGTAACATTAACTTGAACCTAATGAGAACTTACTGTTTAATGTACAGTTCACATATTTTTGTTTTATTTAAATTGGGAATTTTTCAAATGTTATGGTAGTGGAGAAGATTTGTAGCCCATGTGGATGATTCTGGTGGAGTTTTGTTCTCTGAGCTCATAGAACAAAATTCCATCAAATGGTATGGTATGATCATCATAGTATTATAAGATTAAAATATTGATTTGGAAATATATTTGTTAAGCTTTTGTATTTTCGATTAAATTCAAGATTAGTATAAGTTTGTTAGAAATCAGTTACATCCCATTTTGGATTATAAAATTATTAAAATATGTAAAAAGTTATTCCATATACTGATTGAAGACTGTTAGTCAAGCTCTGAAAATTTCACTGAAACATGAAAAAAAACACAACTAAATTATTATCAGAAGGGGTTTTTGTGAATATAGCTGAAATCATGAGTCAATTAAAGCTAGATTACCATGGAAAATCTGGAAGCACTAGACAGCTGTTTCGTCCTATTGTGAAACTTCTTAACAATTTCGCATCCACGATCCCACCTCTCGAGTTTTGAACCAAGGACGAAACCCGGGTCCAGGGTTTCCTGTTGACTACCTCCAACCACCATCTAAATCTCAATACATAGTGCCCGCAGTGTCGAGTCACCTAGACTGGTGGCCACATTGCAACACGATCGATAGCATTCGATCTGCACTAATAAGGACTAGACAAGCATGACATTGATCACCACCCAGTGATCAATCAATTGTGAACCCAGGATTGATTATCATTAGTGATCGATCAGATAAAAAGATTTCTGTATATATAAAGCATCGATTAATTCATTCAAGTCTCAGCTAATAATGATATTCACAAAAGATAAACAATCATTCAATTAACAAGTTATACATACATATATATATAATAACATACTAATTATAAATTCTAATGTTTTAGTCAATTCTATTGTTAAATCATAAATGTGACTTTAATCATATGCATCTAGACTGAATATATTTCATATAAGTTTAACTTGAAAATACTAAGCTTCTTTTAACCTACCATGTATACGGAATCACTGAACCATTCATTGTATTATTCAATTATTATTATTATTATTAAAAACAAAATAAAAAAAGATTGAATAAATTATTACGAATGTGATTTGTTAACATAATTCTACCAACCAGAATGTTGATAAATATTCACTTATTAAGCAAATTAAGATGGATAAACAGATACACACATAGTAAGGAGACCGGTTGAATTATGAAATATTCAGTTGGAGTGTTGTATTTTTGACTAGTTTTAGTGATTTAATGAAATATGAGCAGTTTATATAATTTTTTTTATAATAATTCTACTTACACACACACACACACACATACTACTACATACACCGTAGATACACATAGAAACTGACCTATTGATCTAGAAGACAGGAATCGCACACTAGTGAATTAATTGACTTAGTTTATTGTTAAGTTAGTCAACCTTCACGTTTATTTGTTCTGTTTTTATGATTGTGTGTCATTTGTTTGCATAATCACCTGTTTGAATATATCCATTTATATATATGTATGACCTTCGCAGTTTTTCTCTATGTCAGTTTCATACCAAAAAAGAGATTACATTGCTTTGCCTTATGATTGACTGTCTGTTGTTGGTTAAGTAAGCGTGAGCTTGTGTTTTAGTGTTTGTGTGCATATTTGTGTTGACATTAATGTAGTCTAGGGTGTTAGATGTATCAGGTTTCATTAAAACAGCGGTTGGTATCTAATCGTCATATACCGAATCCACATTTAATCAGAGTGTTTACGAATAAATGAAGCAAATTAAATTGTATTGAAGGTAGGTTCGTAATTGATTTTTCTCTTGTTTGAGCTTAATTGAATTATTTTAAATACATATATCTTTTAATAAGTAAAATTTATATTATAAAATTTAAATGCTAAATCATGCTGATAGCAAAGAATAATGAGTGACATCCTTGTGATGCATCGTCAATAAGATTGATTTCAGTATGTATGAATTTGTGACAACGTAAAACGAAGCTAGGTGTTCATAATTCTTGAGGTCATAGTGTTTCCGTCAAACTAAATAGATTGTATTAGTAAACTCATTCGGAATTTAAGAGACGTAAATAATACTTTTTCATTTAATTACGTAAAAAAGAAAGATGTTGATTATGAATACAATGGTCTTGAGTGCTGTTAGAGGTATGAGGGTGATTATCACTTCCCGGTTGCCCATACCGTGGAAATTATCATTCAGAATAATCGATAACACTATCTGAATAAGTATGATAACAAAGTTAGTGACTAGATTCTTAAGTAAAAAATGAACCAGTAATTACAAAACACTAATCCACTATTATTAATCTCAAATTCGTGTATACTTTATTATAGTATAAATGCTATTCTAAAAACCTAACCCATTAGAAGGGTATTTTTGTTGTGTTTATATTTATGAGAAAAAAGCCCGCTGTTGATAGTCATTCTTGTAAGAATAGTTTTCCGGCTTCAAGTCTGTCGGTGGTAAATGGTTGCAGATAATAAGTTGATATTCCTTTAACTGTTTAGCTAATAGGACGCTTCGTTATATACTGGCATTACTAGGATTGTTTGCAACAGTTTCTTATTTATATATCGTATTTTCTCAATCTCTCACTGGTATTAAACTTCCTTTAGCTATTATTTACTTACTTAAATACTTTTTTATCTTTCGTGGCGAATATGTCACTTACTAAAATTCTCCAACTCACTATGTCCTAGGCTTCACCTATATTGTTTAGGAATGTAGCGACTTAGGCTTGAAAAACATACCATTAAACTTCAAGTTGAATTATTGAGTTTTTGAGATATAAGATATTGCTGAATCATTTAAAAACAACTGATATCCTGTGATCTACCACAAACTATCTTAGTTCAAACAATTAAGTGGTGTTTAATTTTTATTCATTTCCTAAAATGTACTCATACATTTCAACCATTAAAGCTAGAACGTTCAAATTAAGTCATCGTAACAACCAGTCGATCTGTTTTTATATTTCTTGTTTATAAATCATAGCTTGATCATTTTGAAATATTGTTGATGAATAATGTATGTTACATTATCGTTGAATTTCATGCTTTTGGGTGTCGTGTTTAATAGTTGTATGATATATCAGACATTTTATACGGTCTAAATTGCTGCTATATACTTCTTGAATATTAAAAAAAATATTGTTTTTTGTTGAGGAAAGTTAGTTTTTGTAAAGAAGATGACTATAGTGATGTAAAATAAATAATTTTAATATGAGAAGGGGGTTTGGTGGTTGCTATGGTAATTTCAATAGTTGAGATCATGAACCAATTGAAGCTAGATCACCATGGAAAACCTGGAAGCACTAGATGGCCGTTTTGTCGTAGTATGAGACTCCTTAATAGCACACATCCACGATCCCGCCTGGTGAAAACCAATAGGTTCTGGTTTCGAATCTCACTTGGCGAGATCGTGGATGCATGCTATTAAGGAGTTCCATACTACGACAAAACGGCCATCTAATGCTTCCAGGTTTTCCATGATGATCTAGCTTCAATTGATTCATGATCTCAACTTTTAAAAAAATATTCTTAACTATATATTGGTATATAAACAATAAATTGACATGTTTACAAATAACTGGTTAAAAATTCTTTGAAAAAAATCAAAGAATTTACTTAGTATGTTAGTTTAGTAGATTCGTTAACTAAATAAATCAAAGTGACACAATTCAAAATAGATTTACTAACAATATAAATCTATCAGTTATATTTAAGTATGAAATATGCGTTTGATCATTTGTTTCATGATAATATATAAAGAGTAAAGAATTTTATTGATTTATTACCAATATTCGTTATATACATACTTTTATGTTAGATATTTTGTTTTAATCACCGACTAGATTTCAGTTTCCTTTATTCATTGTTTCTTCTTTTTTATTTATAAAATATCGATCTAACAAATTTGTTTGTTTGTTTGTTTGTACATAGTGTAATTTATTCTAGTTTTATTTTATTGATTATTACGAAAGACCGATTCAATAAATTATTATATTAACTCAGGTTGCCATACCATCAAAAACAGCCGATAATAAACTATCAATTTAAATTCATTTAGTATTATTTTGCTTGAATCTTCTTATTAGGGTTTAAGACTGCAGTTGATCAGTCTGTTATTGGTATATGTGCATACTGTGCGTATTGCCTCGATATTGCCTTAATTCACAAGCATTATAAGCAAAGATGGATAGTAGTTAAGAGTGGAATCCAGGATGCGCGTTTCATCCTATTTTGGACTCGTCAGTTGGATGTACCTGCATCCCAGAGAGTTGATGTTCACTCTGGGACTTGAACCCAGTACCATTCGCTTCAAACGCTATCACGTTATCCACTTAGTTGCCTAGTCCTGATAGCCACTTGCTTGTGTAATAGGGTGAATTTAAATTCACTTGGTGTTGTTTTGCTTGGATCTTCCCATGAGATGATGGTATATCCAACTGACGAGTCTCAAATAGGACGAAACGCGCGTCCTGGATTCCATTGCTAACCATTATCCATCTTATCAATTTAAATGTTTTATTTTTATTAGATAAAATGTTTAAAACTCTGGTTGGAAATTATATACATGAAGTCTAGTTTCAAACTTGTAAACTGATTACTTTTTAATTAAATCATACTGTAAATTAAAGGGAATCAGCACTGTGATTAATTTTTTAAAATTTTCATTTGTAATTGATAGTTATATTTGGGTAAAGAATGTTACCAGAAAAATAATTTTTTCAATCGGTAAAGTTATATTTTTCTACACCAAATATTGAAATATACCGTTGCTGTGCCAATAGCTCAATATATTCGAAAACAATTAACCAATAGGTTTCAATTCCTTTGATTCTTTACAATTATAACTAAGATTTAGAAACACGGGGTTATGTTTAAATCTTAGGAATTATGTAACAAAATGCTTAGTACGAGAAACAAAGAATTAACCATATCTTGTTCTCAGTTGATATGTGATTGATATTAGTTAATAACAAAATTTATTTTGGATTTTTAACGAAAATGTTCCATGTCATGAAGATCATTGCATAATACATTATTTATGTACTTAATTAAATTCTATTTCCTACTTAATTGATCATAAAGTTAGATGGTAATAAAAGCTTTTGTATATTCCTATAATATATAGTGATTATTCATTTTTATAGAATTATAAATATATTCCTGTTAGTGAACTGGAAGATTAGTATTGATATTTAAATGGTGGTTGGAGGTAGTCAACAGGAATCCCTGCACCCGGGTTTCGTGCTACTTGGCACTCGTCAGCAAGGTGTACCTGTAATCTTGAGGGAACTGGTGCTCCCTGGCCGATTCGATCTCGTGTCACCCAGCTTCACAGTCAGAGACGTTACCACTGAGCTATCCGAGCTGTGACTAACCTCCTGTAGGACTGAGATGTAATCACAATACATTGTGCCCGCAGTGTCGAGTCACCTAGACTGGTGGCCACATTGCAACATGATCGATAGCATTGGATCTGCACTAATGAGGACTGGACAAGCATGACATTGATCACCACCCAGTGATCAATCAATTGTGATTAGTATTGAATGTCAAAATTATGCCAATTTACAAGTAAATAAAAAGCAAGTCGTCTGATGAATGCCAGTCAACCAGATGGCTTTTGATAGAAGTGACTTGAATTTATACATGAAAGAATCACTAATTTGTCAAGTAGACTAGTTGAAACAAGGCACAAAATTTGCAGTCTTTCAACGTCATCATCATCACTCATTCACTCACTTTATGAAGCTGGGTGTTTGTAACATCTTTCTACTTTTTGCGTTAAATAGATATCATTAAAGTGAGGGGTTTGTGGAGATTGTAGTGATTTTAAATACTTCAGTTCATGAGTCAACGTAAGCTGGATAACCATCAAAAACTTGGAAGCACTAGTCGATCCCACATACATGATCGTGGATGAGCACAGCTGAGGAGTCCCATTCTAGGATGAAAAGGTCCTCCAGTGCTTCCAGGTTTTCAATGGTTATCTAGCTTACCCTGACTCGTGAATTCAACTATTAAATGGATGTCATTAATTCACTGAAATAAAATAGTATATTTATATATTTATATACATGTCACTTGTTTAAATCAGTTTGTAAACAGTTTCATCATCAAAAACCTAAATTACCTGTAAAAAAACATTAACTATAACATGAGTTTAAATGATATCCATCATTGTTCATAATGTTATATATGACTATTAAACTGTTATGTCAGTTATTCAAAGTCAACAATACCAAGTTGACCGAGGTCTATTTGACAAACAAATAATTTTGATGTAAATCAATTTATTTACTGTAAAAACTTAATGGATACGATGTGATTTTTATGTTTGTTCTTTTTTCTCTTTTAAATTTATATTATTAAAATTAATAATGAATTGTGTTGATCAATTAACAAATGAATTAGTATATGGAGATGATAAATTTAAACTGTATATCTAGTTTGAGAGCAATATGTAGATAGAGTATTTTGTAACGATTAAAATTGCAATGTAATCAAAATTGTTTTCATTATGTTGCTTATAATGCTCGTGATTTAAGGCAGTATCAAAGATATCCACATAGGATGCATGTATGCTAACATGAGATTGTTCAATTGCAGTCTTAAAGATCAATGAGAAGAATCAAATAATCAATATAAACATGAATGAAACTTCTTCCTATTGCATAAGCTAGTGGCTATTTGGACTCAGTAGCTAAGCGGATAATCCGGTGGCTTTTGGTGAGAACGGTACTGAGTCCGAGCATCGGACGAAAAGCG